AGATTCTTCGCTCGCCGTAACGAACACCCAGGATTCTTCTCAAATGTCCTGATGATAGCTTTGTCGTCCTTTTTCGTCATTGAGCGCTAGGTGCCGCGTTTCGGCAGGTCGTCGAAACTTTTTGTTTCGTTATAACACGTTTCATCCACTTCCTAACGAACTCCTTTGACTTTTTCATGTAGTGGCCGGCAACTGCATACGATATTTTCGGTTCATTCGGATGTGTGCAAAGAAACACTGCTTCAAAACGACTTGCATACGCAGCACTCATTGTGTTTATCCTGTTGTTGTGTTACAGACAAAACAAGACACATTACCTAAATCACCTCAAAGCATTCTTCCAAATTGTTCAGAGAATCGGATAAACCGAACTTAACATCTGTGCGCCATCTATTAATAAAATGCGGAGCCGTACGCTCTTGTGGAACAGACTGTATGTGAGAAACAGAAGAACCGGCTGACTCACTATCGTGAGTTTGAGTTCTATTCATAGGGCCAGAGCACAGACTTCTGCATAACGTATAATACACAACGCATAAGAGAATCAACCAATCAGAGTTCTTCATTTCTGTCCTGAGGAGGGAAATGAAGAACTCTGATTGGTTGATTCTCTTATGCGTTGTGTATTATGCGTTATGCAGAAGTCTGTGCTCTGGCCCATAGACATAGGAATATAGGGATAGAGCATAGAGTTGCATGGGGATAACCATTGCGGGACGGTGCGACGAGGTAAACTATGCCTAAATCTAATTGGTGGTTGCGCCGTGTGTAAGTATTTGATACATACATACGAGGGTGGTCCGATAAGTACTTAGCCTACAAAAGAAAAACGAAAATTTTGGAAAAGTGGCGATTTATTTCTCAACATAGTCTCCTTTTAGCTCGATACATTTGACCCAGCGATGCTCCAACTTCTTTAACCCGTCTGAAAAATACGTTTTCTCGAGGTCTGCAAAGTAGGCCTCCGTGGCGGCGATGACCTCCTTATTCGACTCAAATTTCTGCCCGGCGAGTGACTTTTTCAAGTTTGGAAACAAAAAGAAGTCGCACGGGGCCAAATCTGGAGAATCTGGTGGATGGGGCAGCAGTTCGTAGCCCAAATCGACCAATTTGACCGTGGCGAGGGCGGAGGTGTGAGCCGGTACGTTGTCATGGTGGAAGAGCACTTTTTTCTTCGCCAAATGGGGTCGTTTTTTCTGCAATTCGGCGTCGAATCGGCCCAATAATTCGGCATAGTACAGCCCTGTGACCGTTTTGCCCTTCTCCAGGTAGTCGATGTAGATCACACCTTGTGAATCCCAGAAAACGGTGGCCATCACCTTTCCGGCCGATAGGACAGTCTTCGCCTTCTTCGGAGCACGTTCGTCGGGTGAAGTCCACTGTTTCGACTGTTCCTTGGTCTCTGGTGTGTACCAGTGGATCCATGTTTCGTCGACGGTCACGAAACGACGCAGAAACTCCTTCGGATTGCGCTTAAACAGCGTCAAGCACTGCTCTGAAGTGGTCTCGCGGTTGCGCTTGTTGTCCGGAGTGAGCGAACGCGGCACCCATCGCGCCGACAGCTTTCTCATGCCCAAAATTTCATGCAGGATATGACCCACGCGGTCTTTTGAGATGCCTACTGTCTCAGCTATCTCGCGCACCTTCAATCGGCGGTCTGCCAATACGAGATCGTGGATTTTTGTTATATTATGCTCCGTGATAGCCGTTTTCGGGGCACCTGGACGTGGCTCATCAAAAACCGACGTGCGACCACGTTGAAACTCGTTAAACCAATTTTTGACGGTCGCCATCGAAGGAGAAGAGTCACCGTACACAGTATCCAAGCGCTCTTTGACTTCGCTGCGCGATTTCCCTTCCAAAAACAAGAATCGAATCACCGACCGATATTGCTCTTTTTCCATTTTTCTAAAATCTGCGGACACGCTCGCTTCCACACGCGGTCAAAACAAAACTACGAGTCCGCTTCGGCTGAAATTTCGACAGTAGCCGTTACGAGAATGTACTACACGATAGTAAATTTCTCTTGCGATAGTGACGCCATCGGGCGGTGAGGCTAAGTACTTATCGGACCGCCCTCGTATATTGGGTCTGGAAAAAAGTTCATGGCGTTTTTCCCGATAGATAGCGTCAATTGCAAATAACTCAGGAAACACAGATCGCAGCGACACCACTAAAGGCTCGTTGGAAAGGTGACACTTCGAGCGTTACTTTGGCTGCATTCCGATATTCACTGCGATTGCACTAAAATTCTATAGTATACGTCACACAAACTATGTATTTTTAGTACTGGCAGTAAATTTCGGAACGCAGCCTGTGAGTGTATAAACATCGAAATTGGTGCAGTGGTTGGAAAGTTGTTTGCGTTTGAAAATGGAGAAAAGTAATGAAAAATTGCGCTATATTTTGCAATATTATTACGACAAAGGGAAGAACGCTGCGCAGGCTTGTGAAAAAATTTGTGCTGTGTACGGTGAAGGTACTCTATCAACATCTGCTGCGCGGAAATGGTTCGCTCGCTTTTGTTCTGGTAATTTTGATGTGAAAGATGAGTCACGCTCTGGTCGTCCAATCACTGAAAAAGCTGATGAAATTCTTGATAAAGTCCAGCAAAATAAGCATATCAGCAGTGTCGATATTGGTAGGGAGCTAGGCATTGACCACAAAACTGTTTTGAACCATTTACACAAAGCTGGCTACAAAAAGAAGCTCGATGTATGGGTTTCTCATGAGCGCGTTGAGCGCGAAAAACATGATAGACCGAATTAACATCTGCGATGCGCTGCTGAAACGCAATGAAATCGAGCCATTTCTGAAACGTGTCATAACCGGTGATGAAAAATGGATCACGTACGACAATCGGAAGCGTCAAAGATCATGCACAAGGGTTGGTGAGCCGTCACAAGCGTTCGCGAAGACAGGATTGACGCCGAAAAAGGTGATGCTGTGTGTGTGGTGGGACTGGAAGGGAATCGTCCACCATGAGCTACTTCCAGTTGGTCAGACGATTGATTCTCAACTCTACTGTGGACAACTAGAGAGATTACGCCAGGCAATTGAAAGAAAACGGCCCGAATTGAATAATAGAAAAGATGTTGTCTTCCATCATGACTACGCCCGACCACACACTTCTTTGATGACTCGTCAAAAATTGCGAGAGCTTGGTTGGGAAGTTTTGATGCATCCACCATATAGTCCAGACATAGCACCCTCTGACTGTCACTTGTTCCGGTCTCTGCAGAACTCTCTCAATGGAATTAAGCTGGTTTTTCAAAAGAAGCCTGTGAAAACCACTTGATTCAGTTTTTCAACCAGAAACCACAGAACTTCTTCACCGATGGCATCATGGCTCTACCCGAAAAATGGCGAAACATTGTTGATAATAATGGAGCATATTTGGTTTAAATAAATTCATTTTCACACTATAAGAAAACCAGTTGAATTTTACTGAAAAAACGCCACAAACTTTTTCCCAGACCCAATATGTGTATGAAGTTGTGTGTGAGTGAAATTATGAAAAAAAAGACGCATGCATAACCTCTGCAAAATAATACTGTCAGTGTAAATGGTTCTTATCATTTTGTTACATTTACTATTTGCCAGTGACAGCCAAGTCGTTACATCACACGCTCTGAATATGCGCACTATTGTAGCCAATGAAACTTAAGCTAGCGGCACACGGTGCTTGTTTTCGTGCTGGATTGCTTGCTGGATGAAAATACTGCGTTCTAATTGGTGCATTTCCATTCATCTTCGGAAATGTACCAATCGGAACGCAGTATTTTCATCCAGCAAGCAATCCAGCACGAAAACAAGCACCATGTGCCGCTAGCTTTAGGCACAGTCGCCCCCCGTATTTCAGTACAACTTCTCTCGCCTATCTTACGGGCTTATGCTCTGTCCTTATATTCCTATGGGCAAGAGCACAGGCTTTTGCATAACACATAACACATAACGCATAAGAGAATAAACCAATTAGTTTTCTTCATTTCCCTCCTCAGGACAGGAATGAAGAATTCTGATTGGTTGATTCTCTTATGCGTTGTGTATTATGCGTTATGCAGAAGTCTGTGCTCTGGCCTTATGATCTAGTTTACATCGTGCACTTAATACGCGTATTAAGTACTATATTCGTACCAAATTCGTACTAAATATTTAGTACGCATGATGCAAACGCTGTCGAATCAACTTGATGTGAGCGTATCAAGTAGGAGTATCGTACTAAATTGATACGCGTATCAATTGATACAAATGACGATGATATAAACGCATAAAATGCAATTTGAAGGTAATTTAGCATTGAGCATAATCTCAATTAAAACCGGTATTGTTATTAATCTTTGATTAAACGATATTGCATTAAAATGTCTTGTAGAAAATGACTAAATTGGAAAGAAGAAGAAACGCGAATATTTTTAGAATTATGCACGGAGAAGCAGATTTTTGCATTAGTGGATGGGAAAAAACACAAACATGTTAATATTTTTCATTCATTAGTGGAAGATTATTATTTATATTATATATAAATAATATATTATAATATATATTATTTATATTATATTTTTATTTTTTATTATTATTATTCGTATTATTTGTATTCTTTAGTACATTCGATGTAAACGCACCCGTACTAAAACATTGGTGCGCACCAAACTTGATACGCGTACCAACGTTTTGACGATGTAAACTAGGCCTATGTCTATGGTTCTACTTAGTTTTCGTTTTGATCTGTCGGTAAGTATAGTGGCGGCTTATAGCGGAGACTTTGAAACTAAAAGTCTACATGTGGGCAAAAATAACGGGTATAACAATCCTTTAGATCTTTCAAGTGCCCACAATACAGGCCTAATAATTTCTACTTTTCTCGCAATAATGGACCAAAAAGTATAGAATCATTGAGACAAGACCAAACAAGGGATATGAGGAATTATTATACTCTTATATCTTTACTTTTAAAATTTCCACGGATCGCTACATGAGAGATTGAAGTCGTGACAAAATTCGATACTGAGATTTCACGCTTTTTATATTTTCAAAGCAAAATAACTCAACAGTAAGATATTTCTTATTTTATTTATTTTTCTTAATTAATAAAAAGCATAAAAATTATTTCTCCACCTTCTTCGTTTTTGCTGACGCCTGCTGTGCCTTCATTACCTTAACAACAATCTTTTGTTCCTCTATTAAGAATGCTCGTACAATCCTAAAAGATTGACATGTTAGTGTTTTACAAATATAATCAACTGGTTGGTTTCTTGGTTGATTTCTTATTTGAAAAATGAAATTCAGAGGAGAATCAGAGATATATTTAGTAATTTTAGATATACTGCATCTAATTATGAATCATCTAAAGTTTGTGTTTTAGAGTTATATTCTTAATTGCAACACGTACCTTTCCTTCACACATTTGTGACACAGCACACCACCGTACACACGTTTAACTGTCTTCTTCCGTCTGCACATACGTGAGCGTTCCATTGGCCTCGCAGGTTGAATACCTCTGAGTTTATCTTTGCACTGTCCACATCTTGGGATCTTTTTGGGCTTCTTCAGGTACTGGTAAACCAATTTACCTCCTGGTGTACGTACACTGTAAATATTTTCATTAAACTTTCAGAACATATTAATTTTGGAAAAAGAATTTCAAACAAATATCACAAACTGTCAAAGAAAAAATTTATAAAGAGATTTTACAGAATAGTTGTTTGATATTGTTCGAAATTTGTAGGCTTATTCGCAGTAGACAGTTCAGTACATATATATACCAATTTATTGTTTAAAAATAATCTTCCATATTCACAATAACTGCGGTCATTGTTCCACGTGAGTATTGCATGGTTGAAGGAAGCGTTCAAAACATAACCTCAAATTCCCGAACGCAACAATTAAAACACAGGTGAGTGGAATCAAATCTCTTGTGGAACGAGATCAACAATGTTGTCGCTTGAAATTAACGTTCAATATCCTACAAAAGCCTACAAATCGATTACTTACACGCGTCTCCTGTTGCTCTTGGTGTTGTACGACAAACGTCGTCGATAGGTTAAGCGCTGTACCATCTTGGCTCTGTGACATAAAGTTACTTGTTAAGGCAGAAAATCTTTCCTTCTATAATAAGCCGCGACACGCAATCAATTATCGCGGATGCGTACAATGATTGCGCGTCGTTAATGAATTTTGCGATTGACAAGTAAAACGTGGATAATAGAAAACCGTACAACATTTGCACGAACCTTTCTTAGATCCAGATGAAAAAGGAAGCGGATACATGCAGAGACGCCACAATGGAGGTGTAGTTCCGCATAAAACGTAGTAGAGGGGATAACACATCATGGCGCCGTCAGCCATAGTGTCGTCATCTGTCGACGAACATTGCAGTTCGTTGTTAAGAACAAACATTTATCGATGGTCGTTGCGTTGCGGCAAAAAACAGCAATATTAACAGCAAAAGTTATCTAGTAATTTTAATAATGCTATTTGATACCTGTAATTGTAATAATTCCAATATTTAATTTTACACAGGCGAGTTTTACCGACGTAGCTAATTTTGTCGTAGCAATTGCGCGCATGCGTGAATCATTTGAAAGTGTCCGTTCAAGATGGCTCTGCTCGCCGTTACTTCAAATTTGTCAACCGAAACGAACGTACGCGCGTTTCTCGAAAGTCTCGTTTTCCCGCTACGAAGTTGTATTTTCGTTGTTCGGGTTGCTTTCAGTTTTCGTGACGAATTAAGTGTAATTCAAGTTTCATCTCTACAATCTCAGAGGAAGATCGGAAAAGTCTGCGGAGCCGCGTTTCTTCGGGTAACGGAAAAGTATCATTAACCTTTTTACGACTTATCGAAAACAATGGCGGACAAATTGTACCGTATATTTCGAAACCGCTCGTTTGTCATATATTTTATTCCATGCGTCATAATTTGTTTCAACGTTTGCAGCAACGAAAAGAATCAATGTAGAATACTCATTCTTCATTCGACGTTGGAAAGATATTTATATTTCAAAATGCAACATTGCGACGTCTCGGCGACGTTGTTTTAACTTTCTGTACTGTGTACATGTTGTTAACAATAATTTCAATATCACTGAAACATAAAATGGGTACAGCGCGAGGAAAGGAGAGCGGAGGACAAATTAAGCGTTAGCGTTCAACTTTCTTTTTTTTTACATCGTATAAGGTATATTATTTATTATATCTTATGTACATTCAACATCGTCTTGACAACATCATAGGAAAAATGTTTTAGACATGTTCCAAAATTTGTCGGCAGTAACTCTTTGCTTGCTTTTTTTTCATTTGCGTTTTTCTTTATACAATGAATCGAAGACACACGGAGGCGATTTCGCTTAACCAATCTTTATGAAAACTCAGCTCGGCGAGTGTATATAAATTATCGAGTGTACATGTGTGTGTGTGTATGTGTGTGTATATGCGAGAGTATGTCTATATGTAATGATAATGCAAGTGTGTACCTGTGTGTAGGTGTATGTGTGTGTTTGTTTGTGTATGTATGTGCGCGGGTGCTTTGTGAATTATGTATGTATAATATATGGGACGGTACCTGTAATGCTTTACTTCTTTTTTTCGGTGATTTCGTTATTTTCGTTTTTTCTCGAAGCAGGTACTTTGACAGAGTTCGCTGTAGAAAGAGTTTGTAAAAAGTAAGAGTCAAACAATGCGCTCGTTTAATTAAACGCCTTAACTAAATAATATAATATTAATAGCTGCTGCATACAGATCCCGACGATCGCACATCTCTTGTTTTTCTTTTCTCATTTTTTTCTTCTATATCACTGTAGCTGTCAACTTTTCGTTCGCTTTACTTTACACACGACAGAGTTTCCAAACGAGAAAACCCTGAAAAGTAGGGAAAGAATGAACGTCGCTCTGCCCCATATCTCGTCGCTAAGTAGTAAATAGATAACTTATAGTAGTTAGAACGTTTGCAATTTAGTCAGATCTCTCTAAACAATAAATAAGTTCCTCTTCTTTTAATAAATAGTAATATAATGTTGCGTTAAAATTGATTAAAGGATTAAGTAAAAAAACGCGAGAGGCGGTTCAACCAATTTGTCCTTCAGCCACTTGTCGTTCTCACTTCCTATTTCTCTTTTTCTCTTCCTCCCTCCCTCTCTCCTCTCTTTGTCGCAGAATCAAAATAAAAAGAAAGAGAAAATAAGGATAAGATAAGTGAAACGGATTATCGCAACAAGGACGCAACAATGCGAATTTTGATTTCTCAGGCTTTTTTCCTGCCGCGCGTGTTTCATCCGACCTCCGTTCGTACACTCTTAAAAATGAAGCATTACGCGCACACTCGGCACTCGGTGGGAGCTTCCTCATCATTCGTCAGGTTAAGTCGTTAAAAATTGTTAAAAATAATTGTTAAGAATTATAAAAAAAAAAAATATTCGCTGGGTTAATGAATATTAAAAATTCAGTCGCACTCTAGTCTCTCCTCAATCAGAAGCACAACGTTGATTCGACGTCGATGAGGATTGAATCAATGTTGATTCAACGACCGTCAATTTCAAACCGTCGAATAAACGTTGCGGTTCTGCGTAGCTGGGTCTAGGTGACGTATCTCTCACGAAACGCGTTTCCGTCGTGCCTCCACGGCGCGCCGAGTGTACGTCGACATTAACGGAAATACATTGTGACGTGAAGTACGATCTCGAAAGCTCTCTGAAAGTGTAACGCGTACTCTCGTCTCTCTTTACTCGGATGTCTTCCTCGTTTCGTTTTGCTCCTGTGAAATCGAGCCCGAACTGGACATACACGGGTACGGGGGAGAGTCGGTGGAACGAAAGACAGGATCGGAGAAGTCGTACGCGAGATACTTTCACTCTGAAATTAACATACGTCCCCTAGAGCACGGTAGAGTTCGTTCGCGTGTATTCTCCTCCGCTTGTGTATTACTCGCGCCTACGTGGCCGTACGTGAGTGTGTGTGATATTGATAGAGCTCTATGAAAATCTAGATATCGATTTGTCGAAATCAACAACATCCTCGAAACTTCAGGTCGCACTCGCAGGTTCGTCGCTAAAACACAGATAATTACAGCTTGAAAGTTTTTAAAGACCACACACACACACACACTCTCTCTCTCTCTCTCTCTCTCTCTCTCTCTCTCTCTTTCTCTCTTTCTCTCCTTCTCTTTCTTTTCATCCCACCCACGGAATCCCGATCGAGCGCGATGAAAATCGACTCGCGCGTGTTGCTCTTCGCGTTCACCTTCGCTTTATCTCGCATTTCACGCCGCTTACTCTCGGTCGGAACTCCGCGCGATCTCATCGTGTCGCCCTTACGTTTTATCTTACTTTTTTTTTTCGTTTAACCTTTAATACGAACATTTAGGAAGATAGCGCTATCGATAATTAATATTTTCTGAAATTTGTTAACATTTTCTATATAAAAATCTGCATTTGCGTGTATTCACTTATTGCTTCGTAATCATCGCCGTTTCCGTAGCCTTCACACATACATACACGCATACATACTCTCTCTCTCTCTCTCTCTTTCTTCCGCTCTTTCACTCTCACTTTTCTACCACATTCTCTCTCTCTCTCTCTCTCTTTGTTTTTTCTAAGGGAGATTTTGCTCTCACTGCGCGGCCCACCGCGCTTTACTCATCTTCCTCTCACGACAAACGCGGAAGGCAGCACGGCGAACCGAAAGACACCAGGGCGTATCTCGGTGTTTTCCGTATACGCTCGGAGAATGATCTCGAGCAATATCTCGTTTACGAGGGGGGAACGAACGAAGCAGCGTTGGATCATTTTCGAGAGATGAGCGACGACGAGGCGACCGACCGCGGCGACTTTGGTGGCCGCGACTCGCGCGTCTCTACGTGATTGGGACGAAGAGAGGGCGCGGGGGAAAATTATAAAGTAATTATTGGCCGGCTACGAAGACTACTACAAAGTTCGCTCCGTTTTATCGTTGTTCGCGTGCATCTCGTCGAGACGACAAAATCACGACCACCAAAGATGCGCGCTCTCCTCCCCGCGCGCTCGTCGTCCACGTCGTTCCGTTTGTCATCCACCGTCGCTTCGACGCCGTAGACTACTACATTACTAACGTTTTCTTTTTCTTCAAACGATTAAATTAAAAAATAAAAAAAATTTCCCCGCGACTCGTCGGACTCACTTGGAAGCCGAAGTCAATCTCACGCGCGATATTCTCGTATATCTATGTGTTCCGCTGTCCCGTTGGTCTCTCTCTCTCTCTCTCTCTCTCTCTCTCTCTCTCTGTCTCTCTCTCTCTCTCTATCTTTCTCTCTTTCCCTTCGAGGACAAGTCGCCGGTAACGTGTGTATTCCCAGATAGAACGCAACGCGTGTCGTCACATGCCGCACGAAGCGCCCGGGAAGCAGTCTTTTACGATCAGCGCGCGTCTACGAGATACGGTGAGATCGTATCTTGTCCCATTTCGCGGTGAGGCAAGCCTCCTTCTTTCTTTTGCTCTCTCTCTCTCTCTCTCTCTCTCTCTCTCTCTCTCTCTCTCTCTCTCTCTCTGTCTTTCTCTCTCTCTCTCTCTCTCTTTCTCCCACTCTTCCCTACTTCTTCCTCGCACTCAAGAAAATGAACAAAAAGAAAAGAAACAATTTCCTATTAGAGATATATGCATAGTGGAATGGACGTTGCTTCGCAAGCAAATTCCTCGACCGGGCTGTGAAAATCAAACTGCCTACCTCGCTCGATCGCGTCGAGTCGCGCGATATTGTCTCGCGGTCCGCGCAAATCACGCGCTCATGACGAACGTCTCCGAATCGACTCAGCACGCTCGCGTTCGCTTACTTTCCTACGTTTCTGCCCCGTTCTCTCTTTCTCTCTCGCCTAGAGCCCTCCTCTCCGTCTTCACTCGGTTTCGCCCGATGGAAACTTCGGAGGGGAGAGCACGATCGCGACGCGCGATCGGAATCGCCTCGTCCCGACTCGACTCGACTCGATCGCGACGAAGCGAACTGCGTGTATTGCGTATACGCGGTTGTCCCTCTCGCGCTCGCATTGCATTCCGGATAAGTGTTGATATGTTGACGCATTGCTTGCTAGTAAGGGACGCGCGTTCGAGAATCGTTTGATCTCTCTGTACATCTATCTCTGTGTCTTTGTCCTCTCGTCCTCTCGACGTCACGTCGCGCTCTTTCGCTCAGCCGGACGCGACCTCCTCGCGACTCCGATTCTCGTCCCTCGGATTTTCCCGCGTCTCCTACCGATGAAGAGTGCCTCCCTTCGCTCTCTCTCTCTCTCTCTTCCTTTTTTCTCCTCCTACTTATCGAAGTGTATCTCGCGCGCGTCTATTTATAATATATCTTTATATATATATATATATTTTTATATATATGTATTATGTATATAATAATCTCGTATTCTCTCGGTGATCGCACGCTCGTGTACATACATCGTATAGCGCGAAGGGCGGCCTGCGGATCTCTCTCTCTTTCTCTCTCTCTCTCTCTCTCTCTCTCTCTCTCTCTGTTTCTCTCTCTTGTCATTCGTCGTCGATGCAGCTTCATACATTCACACATACACGCGTTCGCTTATTTTCTCTCTCAATCTGCCTCTCTCTTTCTCTCTCTCTTTTGCAGTCGCGTCACACCAGTCTCGCGCTACAGTAAACTCTTGCACACTTGCGTTGGCACATGTCCGCCTCTTGTTTCGTCGTTTCGTCGTGCTCGTTAATCGACAGGTACCTATACAATAGACCGCGTATGTACGACATATTCTCGTACGGGAATAACGCAAAGGCAAGAATCGTGGTTTTCTTCTTCATTTCTCTCTCCCTCTCTCTCTCTCTCTCTCTCTCTGTCTTTCTATTCGATCGTTGCTCGTCCATCGTGCCGAGGCGATGGTCAGATATCGTTTTGCTCTGAGACACGCGCTCACACTCTCGCCACTCTCGCTCTTGCGTTCTCGCGGTCCTCGTAGGCGACGTATGTACGTAATAATAGCAATCATTGCGATGAGTCCTCGCTACGTCGATGTGATAAAATGCACCTACGTTGTATAATTGTCGCGCTATCGATGGAATCTCGGGAACTACCGCGACAGTTGCTCGCTCGCTCGCTCGCTCTTTTGTTTCTTCTTTTCTTTTTGGTACGGTCGTTCGCGCGATATACAGCAGAGACGCGGTGTCTTCTCCTCTCTGCCATTTCTCTGATCCGTTCATCGTCGCTCCTTGTCAGACGCGCGAGGGAGACCTATCGTGTCGATTGTTACAAAGAGACGTAGCTTTACGAGTATACGTAGGAAAAGCGAGGGACGTGTTCGAACGACACTTTAGGCCGTGCGCAGTTCGCCCGTTCGATGCTTCCGCGTGTCGCGGTTACACGTGTACGTATGTCGCGAAAGGAGCTGCCGTTCGAGTCGACAAAATGTCACGGGAATCTTCCGATAAGCGCGACCAATGGAGATTGAAGGGACTCGAGACGCTGGGGTCTCGAGATGATGGTTAAAAGTAGAACGACTATACAACGTATACAAAATCCAGCGATTTGCGCGATTATATCAAACTATAAAAAATCGAGAGAGCTCTCGTTGAATGACGGAAAGAAGCTCGACGCGAGTTTCGCGGCAGTAATTACAGCGGGATGGCTCGTCCGTCTCCGTTTGTCAGTCTGATCTATTCGCGGATCGATCACGGAAACGGCCTAGGAAACGAAGGACAGGATCGGCGCTCGTTATTCGCAACGGGCGGAGCTGTTCGGTGTTTATGTGTGTGTGTGTGTGTGTGTGTGTGTGTGTGTATGTGTGTATGTTATATTCATCCTGTCGGGAACGTTTTTTCTCAGACATCCTCCTCCTCCTCCTCCTGCCTAGGCACGAGCTTCGCGAACGATATCGTTCGTTACACGTTGATCACGGGAGATACACCAGCATCGTGAGTGATCCCTCTGACGTGTAGAAATATCGTTTACGCGGAAGCCTCGTCGTACTTTCACGGGTACGGGTTCAGAGTAAGTCGTTGTACGTGATTCGGATGCGAGATGACGAGCGCGTGGTCCTCGTATATACGCCCTCCTGCTACTCCTCGCGAGGGGAGTTGTAATAAGCGCGAAGGATGAATTCTCCTGACTCTCGTGGACTCAATGTGGAATGTTTTGCGGTACGAGTACCTTCGTGTCAAGGCGGTGACAACCTCCTTGGCTCATCGAGGTTCAGTTTCTCGGTTTACCGGATCCACTTGCGCGGAAAAGGATACTCTCTCTCTCTCTCTCTCTCTCTCTCTTTCTCTCGAGCACATCAGGGTCGCTCTGACTAGGTAATCGACGAGTCCTAGATGACACGCGGATCTCGTCGTCGCCTGATGCTCGCTCTCTTCTTCTCTCCTCGGGGAGAGACTACTGAGGCGTCTGGGACGCCTCGAGGGAAGTGGCAAATTCGTGAGATCCATGGGAAAGGGGTGTCGTGATGTTCCGCGCTGATCAGCCGATTGGGTTGTCCGCTCACGTTACGCGTCACGATCCCGTCTGAGGATTCTGCGAGCGTCGCGCGCTTACACGAGGAACCCTTGCGACGTGGCGGACATCTGCGCCCGCAGCGCCGTCACGCTGTTCATGATCTTCTTCTGGTGGCCCACCAGCGTGATGCCGAGGGAGGTGAGCTCTTGAACGGTGACGCGTGCCGCTGCTTCTAACGTCGTCACTCCCGCGCGCTCGAAGCTCTCGGCGTACCGCGACATCTTGATGGAGGCCAGCCACTCGCTGACCGACGTCAATTGCGTCAGATCCACCGCATCCGGCGCCAGAGGATTGGTGCCCCTGTCGAGAATAAGGAATTAGAACGTGTCCCTGTCTCTCTGCGAAGGGGGTAGCGTTCGAAAAGTAGGGGAGACAAAGGGTACGTTTTGGGACTCTTCCGCGAGACTTTGGGATTCTTCAGATCGTCGATCTGAATTCTAGTGCACTCACATACTCGTTCCTCTTGCTATCCACACACATTCACATTCGCATGGTCTAAAAGATATATGATAGTTATGATAGTTGGTGACTATAATAACTATATGATAGTTGCGAGATCAATCTCTCAGGGCACCTCGGCAGTTCGCTATCGTTGTACCGCCGAGGAGGATGAAACAGCGAAGATTGTTGGATCCTCTCTCTCAGCGTTTTTCAGCCGACTCGCCACAGCGCGATCGCTCGTATCTTCGCTGTTTCGCAGGGGCGGGGGGAGGGTGGGGCATCGGGACGTACTCATACAGGACGTACTCATTCACGAGTGTGGGATTTCGTTCATCTATCGACAACGTGTTCCTAGTACGGATGGGGTCAACGTTTAAACGACCACGTTTCACGAGGATCAGTGCACGTGTCGCTGATTGTAAAACGTAATCGGACTTTTTGCCCCGGTTTTATGTACACTGGAGGGGGGGAGTGATATATACACATATGCTCAGATACGATACGTACAACTTGAAGGGGTGACATTTTAAAACATTATATATATATATATGTATATATATATTTAATTTATATATATATATATATATATATAAATGGGATAATTACGGTCTGGTTGTTTGGATGTAAAGAATCAATCAATTGGTCGAAACTGAAAACGAGCGTCTGGAATATCCAACGGAGATTCTCAAGCAATTAGTGCGCTCGTATAATTTATTCGACATATTTTCAGTGGTATAAAATAGAGAGTGTATAAATCAAATCTTATCCTAGACGAGAGAATCGCTACTTAAGTATATACAATTGGAGCAGCGACCTCCTGAGTCATTTCCTACGGGTGTACGCGGCGTGTATCGTGTGACAATCGATCTCGAATTGCGAATCACTTGAGAAATGGAAAAGAAAAAGACCGGGTCTCTCTCTCTGATTGCCGTAAGTACGATCGATTTGTCTTGTGCGTTCTTTTATACAACACTATGTACACGCTAAGATACAGATAAATACAGATGCAAGCGTACAATTTCTCTTTGTCTCGACAATTGAAAAAGTATAACTAACGACGGTATAACAACTAAAGTATAAAGGTAACGGTAAAAATTATACGAGGAGATAAGAGTAACGATATAGTGTAATACAAATAATAATACAAATAATAAAGTAATACAAACACTATAGGTAGGTAGAAATAATGAATAACGACAGAGCTACGATGACGATGACATGACATGTGACAATAATAATGCTAATCGCTAATGACAGTGCCGTCTCGGTGAGAGCGTGAGAGTGATGATGCATCATGTAACGTGTGTTAGTGATAGTACACGGTGAGCTCACAAGTTCAGCTGTGTATGTACACGTGGATGGATCTTTGCAGTGCCTATGGAAGCAAGCAGGGTGCGACACACAAAACTAAGGAGAATACATAAGCGGGGACGACTGTAGTCTACGGTGGCGGCGGTATTTCGTTATCGTGTGAAAGAAGCAGAGAGAACCTGAAAGCACAGTCTCAATTTTAATTTGAATCGACGGAGAGCTCCTCGAAAGGGCGAAATTCTCTCGTATCTGGGCCAAAGATTGGGACGTTAGACATGAGAAGCGATTGCGCTTTGTTCTTCTGCGCTTCTTTTCCCCTTTTCGCGTTCTTTTTTTTTTACTCTTTTTTTTTTCTCTTATCCGCGAAGGGGGAATCTGGTGGGGGAATACCGCTTTTTGATTTTCTCTTTTCTTTTTTCTTTACCTGTTCCTCAAATGCACGTTGGAAGATGCCGACGAGGCGGGTGGGGGTGGGGGTGGAGCACCCCTTTCCCTGATTCTGACAATTGTTAGCATTTGTTAGTGCGATGGAGGTCGTACTAGGTGTACTGTGTTATTATCTTCGGGCTATTTTCTCATATTCTCGGCTCTGACTTCGAATCTCTTATCTCTTTCGTCTATCATATGCACGCGCGCGCGTGTGTGTGTGTGTTCGCGTGTGAGTCTGTTGTGTGTCCTGTGCTTGTGTATCGATGCGGTGTGATCACGATGCGTCACTCGCATTACGATGAGTAAACGAAAATTGCTATTTATGCTCGAACTTAAATAAATATAACGAAGAAAAGGATTGAAATTTTCCGCACGACCGGAGTAATGTTCATAAAACATAATTATGCAGAAGATAAATTTAGCGATTCCTTTTCTCGCTCTTATCCCGCTCACCTCCGGCTTTGCGACTTATTCGTGATCTCGTTATAAAAACTTACGACGTTTGCGTGAAGAAAAAAAAATAAAATAATAATTCACGCGCGTAAATTCCCACTGATGAGCTACGTAAATCAGCCGTTTTTTTCTTTCTCACGATGGCGTGTCGCGACGTTCCTCCTGTTTATATCGCGCATCTCTCGGCAATATTTTAGAATTGAACGTTTACGGTTATGGTCGTCTCCCTCATCGATGCGACAGTACGAATCGACAATTACATATAATCACCCTCGCGTTTAAGATATATGTATATATATTACGTATAAAAATACTATTCTAAAATGGTCGACCGGCTGCACGCGTGCTGTACATACGCTAAAAAGTCTGCAGTCTTCAGACTGCAATCGACAGCTTCGATAAATATCGTACGATATAGAAGTGTTTCTGTGTTGTATTTGTGTGTGTGTGTGTGTGTGTGTGTGTGTTATATGTGAGTACACAGTGCCGGGGTGTTGCGATTTATCATACGGGCGACGTATCATAGAACCAAGAGACCGCGTTTCCACAGTCCGCAGTTCCTGCGGCCAATTTGCCGTCCCTCGTCGAAAACTTCATCGATAGGACGCACCTAAATTGTGCGAAGAACTCGCAACTGGAGGAACCGGCGGCGGAGGTTCCGTGACATCTCGCGTGTGTGATTGGTTTGTAAGTGTATGTTCGTGTGTGTGTGTGTGTGTATGTGTGTGTGTGTGTGTGTGTGTGTGTACATAATATATATATATTTATAATTATATCATCATCTTTCTCTCTTCTTTTTGTTTTTTTTCTTTTTACGTATACTTGTGACGCACGAAAGCTACGGCCGCTAATATATTATATAGAATACGAGAACATCTGAAAGACCTTTAGAGCTGCTTCCACGCATACCTTCCTCGATTATCGTCCATACTCTACTAAGTTCTGAATCGCGTACGACCTACGTATTGCTATTCGATGCTCGGATTTGTCCTCTAAGAAGTTCAGACGAATACACGATATCTTAAGTAAGAGACTGAGAACACTTATATCTTCGCGATCTTAATCGACAACGTACGTTTGCTCTAACGTGTTTAAACACGGCTCAGACTTATTGCTCGGTTGCGCAACGTAAAAGATTCTCTCCCTACACGCTCACTAACATGTAACATCCCTACGTTATGTTATCCGCGTCGCTCGCGTTAAGTCGCTACTTCGGTTAATGACTGCGGTAGAAAACACCGGAGAAGAAGATACTTTCTTATTACGACGATGCTACTCTTGTACACAACGATACGGCACGATGAGAAACGCTTGGACGCGTCTCTCTCTCTCTCTCTCTCTCTCTCTCTCTCTCTCTCTCTCTCTCTCTCTCTCTCTCTCTCTCTCTCTCTCTCTCTCTCTCTCTCTCTCTCTCTCTGACACTACTCTCTACCTACATTCGCCACACCTAATGACGCCGTTTGAACGCGACAGAAGATCGGAGAATTACAAATTTCTACCTGTTCTACCCCGCCGGGACGCCTATAGTCCCCGCGATTCCCTAAGACTAGCGCGATCGCAAAGATGGGGGCAGGGGGAAGTTAGGTGGAGAGAAGAAGAAAAAGACAAGAAAAAGTGAAGAAACGCGAATTGCAAGGACAGAACAGCAGCGTCTTCAGCTTCGTTTCGCGCGTCCGATTCGACGGCAGGCTGAGTACACGGCTAGAAGCACGGGCGGAGGCGATGCCTAAAGATTCGTCTTTCTTTCGATCTATCCGACGAAACGATAATCTCCCGTTCTCGCTGGACAAATCGAGCGCGCCGAGTACCCTCCCTCAGCCGAAGTGGGTGAACGGGACCCAATTGGGATAGGTGAGCGGTGGTTGTTGGTGTGGCAGTGCGTGTGTGTGATAGTGTAAGCTACGGCCGGCTCCTGGTGGCATTACTGGAACGGCAATCGCTGATTGACCGGCTTGATGAGCCTGATGGCCGACTATGTCTACGAACGGGCCCGCCGTGCTGGCGGCCGCCGCCGCCGCCGTGCCTGGTGGTGGTGGTGGTGGCGGCATCGCAGCGGTCCCCGCTGCCGCGGCCGCGGCCGCCGCCGCCGCCGCAGCGGCCTGGGCGGCAGCCGTGTGGCTTGTGACATAGTACGGATTGTGTGCGGGCGGCCTCACGCTGCAATGGCAGGACGGACGAACGGACGGACGATTGTCGTGGACGGATACGGTCGTCGCAGTTGCGTTGGGTTGCAGTTCGTAGTCAGGTACCAAAGGACACCACAAAACCAAAAGCACAAAGAATTAGCCCAGGGAAGAGAGAAAGAGAAAGAGAGAGAGAGAGAGAGAGAGAGAGAGAGAGAGAAAAAGTGAGAAAGTGAGAGAAAGAGAGTGCGCGATGGTTTCCGGATATACGCGAATATTATAGTTACTCCTCCTGCTTCTCCTCTCTTCTTGCACCTTTTCCGGCGTGTTTCGTTGGGAACGAAGAACAAGACGCGAAATGCGCGAAGTCCGCTGGGTGATCGGAGGATAAAACAAAAATATTTCATGGTGGAGGCTTCGCTCTTGGTACTCGCTGAAGATTGGTGAGTTTCGATCGAATTCGACTCGAATTGTGCGAAAAAAAATTATCGGAATATCGTGACCGGCGCGGTTTCGTTCCGCGGATATTCCCTGTGGATATCTCACACGCCGATCGCAGGTGTGTACGACTCTTCGTCTCCTCGTTTCGGGCGAAGCGACAAAAAACGCGGAGCGCAAGATCTAGCCCATGTGTTGTTATTGCATATTCACCGTGAGAAGTGGAGCCGCGCGCGTCTCGCGACAAGGGGCAACTTGGCGTCGGGTGTGAAGTGCGAACTGTAGACGCGCGAGGAGCGCGCTAGAGAAAGCGGCAGAAGCGGCGAAAGCGACTGAAAGCTCTGTTAAAAGGTCGACGACGCGTAATGCGTGATTTTCCTTTTTCTAGCTATGCTTCCGCGGGAAAACGCGCGAAGAGAGATGTTCTACGTGGCTCTGACTAACGACGTAGACTCTCGTCCATAAATTAATTTTCCCGTCAGCTAGTGCTGAAAAACCACCGCCGTGACGGTGAGCGAAAAGGAGAGAGAGAGAGAGAGAGAGAGAGAGAGAGAGAGAGAGAGAGAGAGAGAGAGAGAGAGAGAGAGAGAGAGAGAGAGAGAGAGACAAAGAGACAGCGAGAGAGAGAGAGAGAGAGAGAGAGAGAGAGAGAGAGAGAGAGAGAGAGAGAGAGAGAGAGAGAGAGAGAGAGAGAGAGAGAGAGAGAGAGAGGACGAAAAAGGAAAAGAGAGACGGGGAGCGTAGTGTTGTTTCTTGTACGGCCGAGTATATTCAAGCGAGAAAGCAGCGTCCGCCCTCAAGAAGAATACGACGAAATATGACTCTCGTGTAAATATTCCCGGCGCAAAGTGCGATGTTACTGTAATATTATCAATTTGTGAGCAGATAAAAAGAAAAGAAAAAAAAGAAGAGAAAAAGAGAAAGAAAGAGAAGGAGATACGCGAAATTCCGGCGCAAATCTGACGATTTACCGCGCGCATTGAAATCTCCCCCTCGCTGTCTCTCTTTCTTTCTCTTTCACGTGTTGGAAACCGAAGGAATCTCGAGACAAATGCGTAGGAGTAAATTTTGACAAACCTCATTTGGAGGTTTGAGAGACAGAAAGAGAGAAAGAGACAAAACAAAAATGAAAAAAAAATATATATATATATATATATTCAGCGATCAAGTCAGAAGAAGCACGAACGAGCAGAAGCGAATGCGAACGACGACAGTCCAGTACGTATGCCCGCTTCCAGTAATGCCAATCAGGTTGAGGTTGATATCACGATGACGACGACGACGACGACGACGACGACGACGACGACGACGACGACGACGACAACGACGACGACGACGACGACGACGATGACGACGACGACGACGCGAGCAAGAGTATACAATATAATGCTACCGACACACGGCCTTTCTTTCGTTAACACATACACGAGCACATAATATATGCGTGTACGATGCGTGTGCTTGTGCGGAACATCGTACACCAATGAGCCACCACAGTTGTCAAAGCCCATTCTAAGTAGCGTAAAAAAGGAACAGAAAAAAAAAGAAAACACAACAGAACGAATATAGCGTGGATCCGCGCGAGCATCTCGGCGAAGTAACGAAAATAAGCTGATCAGCTGTCGAGAGAAATTAATTTATGGACACGATGTCATATTTGTTTTAGCTCACGTAGAGGCATGCGGCGTGTGTTGTACGCGAATTTGAGGCATGAGATGACTCTGAGCGGGATGTGTAACGTAGAAGGGAACGGAAAAAAGATAACGTTCGATATAAAATGCCGATGAAAGAACGAGACCAACTATATCTGCGACAGCGTGCGCTCGAAGCACTCGAAGCGAATTGATATTAATTTCCTTTGTTGCACGATGATTGTTTATTCCACTAAGTATTCTCTGCGTCGTGTCTGTTTGATTTCCCGTCGTCCGAACGTCGGTCTGTGCGAAGTTTGCGTTAAACTAGACTAAAATCACGACACAGATCTTCTGACGCAGATCACTTTGCGATTACTAACACGTTGACTGCCGCGTCGACTCCCGAATTAATCGAATACGAAAGTTTCATTGGCGAATTGGCAGACGCAAGCGGTAAATAGACGTGTGTATTTTTCATCTCGTCTTGTTGGCATTCAATTTCGAAGGATTAATAATTTTTACGAATAAAACAAATATCCGCTCTACATTTGTTCAGACACGAGTGTCTCGCAAGGATTGCTCATTTTCCTTCTGATACCGGAATTTTCTAGCAGAATTTGATGGAGAAAAACGACAAAATCTTTCGCGTCAAGCTAATACTTTACACGCGACTTGACGAGAGACGCGATGGCGATCATGACGCTGACCGTCGCGGCATTCAACGCGCTGACAAGTCCGTGTTTCACGGAGAACATCCTGCAATCCTATCGCGCATCAGCGTCTGTTATTCGTTTAAGCGATCACTCGCGAATGAATCGGTGAACGAGTGGGACGTGTGTGTCTTTACCTGTTCTGAGCGATCTTTCTCAGCGTGTCCGGGGTTCGTATGAGCTTGTCCAAAGTCTGCGTGAGATTGGCAAAAGTGGGCCGATGGGTGCGCTCCTTCTGCCAGCAATCGAGCATCAGCTGGTAGATCGCCTCCGGGCAGTCCATCGGCGCTGGAAGCCTGTAGCCCTTCTCGATCGACTTGATCACGTCCTGATTCGACCAGTTCCAGTACGGCCTCTCGCCATACGACATCACCTCCCAGCACACGATGCCCATGCTCCAGACGTCGGAGGCGCTCGTGAACTTCCGGAACGCTATCGCTTCCGGTGCCGTCCACCGTACCGGGATCTTTCCGCCCTGCGTGGAAACGATTGAGGCGAGATTAATCAACGAGGGCTACCGGGAGAAAAACGATGGCGTTCGATTCTTCCCAGACAGCAGCAGCTTCTAAACTGCGAGCGAGGTGTCTCGAGGAACGTCGGAAGACGTTCAAAATAAGTAAAGGCATCTTCACTGGACGTCTTTGAGACGTCGTTTCGAAGCGTGTGTGCTGTCTGGATCTTGTTGCTCTCCAAGATCGACCGCGAATTCGACTTTGATTCGACGGGCCTGATCGGATTGCTCGCTCACCCTGGTGGTGTAGGCTCCCTCCGTGGCGCTCTCGATCTCCCTGCTCAGCCCGAAATCGGCGATCTTGCAGACCAGGGCTGCGTTGACCAGTACATTCCGCGCGGCGAGATCGCGATGCACGTAGTTCATCTCCGCGAGATATTGCATGCCACTGGCGATGCCGCGCAGCATGCCCACCAACTGCAAGACCTGAAATTTGCCATCGTTCGCCCGCAGGAAGGTGTCCAGGCTGCCGTTCTCCATAAACTCCGTGATGATCATCACCGGATTGCTCTTCGTCACCACACCCTGCAGGAATATCACGTTCGGATGCTCGAACTGTCCCATTATCGACGCTTCTGTCAGGAAGTCGTTACGAGCTTTGTCCGCAGAGCCTGGCTTGAGAGTCTTTATGGCCACGTCTATCTCCGTCCGCCCGTCCGGCGGTAATTTCAGTTTCCCTCGGCAGACATCGCCGAATTCACCACCACCTGCGGTCACAAGAGACAGAGAGATAGCCGGCGAGAATGTAATCGGTCTGTAATCGTTCCGATTCCAACGCGACTGTTTGAACGTCGAGCTGCGTGTTATCGCGGACGGTAATAGACATCGATGCGAGCTATCGAGACCCGAGAATAATACGCAAACCAAGGAGCCTACCTATGATGGCCTCTATCGTGATGTATCCGGCGTCGATCTCGCGGGCGAATTCTCGCACGGCCTGATTCGGGTCCTCGTAGGTGTGAGGGTCCACGTAGCTCCTGGCACCTGCGCCGCCTGTGCCGCCTGCGCCTGCCGCGGCGACCCCCACTGCAGGTGTGAACAGCGGCGTGGTCACTGCAACGTCACGAAAACAGAGTTCATTATATTAACACGAGGGCCGGAGTGCGTGCGCGAAATTTTGATTTGCGGAAACTTTAAACCGCGCGCCAGACATTCGCTCTAAAAACGTCGGCCAACCGTGTCATCCCGCACAAAGAAAAGAAAAGAAAAGAAAAAAAAAAAAAAGAACGAAGAAAAGGAACACTCACACTCATTCGCTCTCGTCAGCGAGTTCAAATTTCCAAAATAAAAAATAAAAAAGAAAAAAAAAGAGAGAACCAAAAAATTAAACAAGACACAACCAAGAAAGCCAAACGCAGGTGGATTCTAAAAGTGAGATGTAACGTCTCCTCTGCTAGTCCCGCAATTAGCGAAAGAGTCACGTACTCTCCCTCTCTCTTCCACTCTTTCTCTCTCTCTCAGCCTCTCTCTCTCTCTCTCTTTCTCTCTCTCTCTCTCTCTCTCTCTCTCTCTCTCTCTCTCTCTCTCTCCCCCTTTCTCTCCCTCTCTCCCTCTCTATCTTTCTTTCTCGTTTCTCTGTGTTCTATCTTAGAATCTGATCTGTTTTAATGTTCGAGCCGAGACCGTGTATCTATGTACGCTAACTCGCGCATAGCCAATCGACACATGCTAATCAACAAAGCACGATTTTTCGCATGCCCGTATGCCAAAAAGAGTATCGATCGTCGAACGACGATCGTTGCGATACATCCGAAAAATCCAGTGTGAACAACGCCGTTCAGCGACGGACGCCCCGGACGCTCGAGACGATTCGAACAGTTTCTTTTTCTCCTCTCTTTCTCTCTCTCTTTCTCTCTTTCATTCGTTCCCTCCTTCGTCGTTCAAATTGCACCGCTACTTTTCTCCCCACCCCGCCCCCGCCCTCCCGGTCCCATTATTTTCGTCTACTCTCGAATCGTCTCGTTGCATCCGAGCATCTTCCACAGCTATACCGAGATAAAGAAGCGATCGCGGAAAGCACGATCTCACCTGAGAGAAGAGAAATAAAAAATCAGAAATGAAAAACTAGATGCAAGAGAACATAATGCAATTGCATGCTTGCGAGACACGGGGCCGCGGCATGCTCTTATACACAGTCTTCTTTTCCGGACTTTTCATCCATATCGCACATACAACTAGGACAGTGAGTATAGAAAGAACAGAGAACGGAGTGTGCCAGCGCAAAACTAAAGCGAAATCATAGTACGTAATACGTGGAGAACTCGGAGTGAGTGTACGAGAGTGTCGGTGCGCGAGAGTTATGGCTGATATATTTAGATTTATCTCTCTATCACTTATATATACATATATAAATATTATCCGTTACATATATATATATATTTATATATGTGTGTGTGTATATATATGTATATATTTATATATGTGTGTGTGTGTATATATATATATATATATATAAAATGTTTTTTCTCATAAATATAAATGTCGTTCTCTCGGGCGTGTCCGCGCGGTTTTTCTCGCTCGAAGAATTTTGGCCGGAATTTCCATGGGAGACAAAGGACTTACGCGAGGACTTGCTCTTGTTGTTGGTATGGGTTGTCACAATCGGTGAACTGTCCATTTTGCAGTGCACTGTGAACAACACAACAACCAACACACTAATTGACAAACAGCAAAACAAGAACAAAGCGGCGGGTGTACGGTGATGAACTTTTTCTTTCGTTTTTTCATATTTTTTTCTTCTTCCTTTCCTTTTTCTTTCTGATGAACGTAAAAGCGAGAAACGGCAGAAATTAAGGAACAAAAATAGAAAAGAAAAAAGAAAAAAGAAAAACGCCTCGACTCTCGATCGCGGCCGTTATGAATGCGTAATCCAATTCACTGTTCCCGATATTCGATGAGTGACGCGTGACTGGGGAAAAAAGAAGCGAAAAAAGAGAAGTTACGCTCTCTTCGATCCCCGTGGTTTCGCTCTTTCTGCTTATGCGTTTGTCGTTTTTGTTCTTTCTCGGCTTCCTTTCCGAACGGGAACGAATGCAAGTCTAAAAAGCGCATACACTAATGACATCGACACACTGACAAATGATACGCATGCAATTTTAATACGCAACGTACAAACGATGCGATAGAACGAACATACGCAAGCACAATGCGCGGGCACGCACAATGTCTCTGAGAAGTGAACTCGGTCGTGTGTGCAAAACTGTTTGGCGCGCACATGTGTGTGTGTGTGTGTGTGTGTACGCGCGCGCGTATATGTATGTACATCACGTTTATTGTCCGTTTGTGCGTGCGTGCGCGTGTGCGTGCGTGCGTGCGTGCGTGAGTGCGTGCGTGAGTGCGTGCGTGTAATTCATGGTATGTGTGTGTACGAGCGCGTGTGCAAAAGCGCAAGTCTGATCTGTTTGAGAGTGTCTTGAATCGGAGATGCAGAGTACAGGGGTTGCAAAAATAATCTACACAAAACTGAATTCCTAGAAACAAAACTTGAGGTGTTGGAGAAGACTTACTGTAGGTCACAACTAGTCCTGTAGTAGCAGGCGATTGTGTACATTGTTTCATTGGGTTTTTTCATGGATTTTTCATGGAGGCAGGTTCGATAGATTAGGGGAATCGCACATGAAAAGAAAGAATCGAAAGAATTTGGTTAGAATAATGGCACTCAGGCTGCGGGCCAGATCGTGTGAATTTCGGTCGAAAGCGATCGTTTCTCACTTTACGTCCCTGTATATCGCGGCTATTTCGGAGAACTTCGACTGCTTTCTCTCTCTCTCCCTCTCCCTCTCTCTCTCTCTCTCTCTCTCTCTCTTCGCTCGCATTTTTTTTGTCTATACGAACGAACATTTAGCTATGTGTCTTTGTCGCTCTTTCTCTTTCTCTCTTTCTCTCCCCCTCTCTCTCTCTCTCTCTCTCACTCACTCACTCACTCACTCACTCACTCTCTCTCTTTCATTCGCAAAAAGACCTCTACGGTACGGGGGGGGGGGGAGTTGTTTAAACGTCCATTGTACAACGTGGTTTTGTCTGTATACGAGAGGGGCAGTAGTTTCGATTGCTTGCTGGATCTAAAGGGGGGCGAGAGGGTGGGTGGGGGGGCCAGTGGTACTCCAATATATTAGTCACAAGACACGATTATAGGCGCAATGAGACAACTATGAAACGTGACGTTGGGCGAGGGGGGCGGGGGATGATAAGAGTAGCGACAATAAATCTTATAAAAGAGAGAAAAGCCGGTGCCGTCTCGGCATCGGACCAACGTACCTTCGCCGTTTCTGTACTCCAGGGTGTCGCAGTCGCTCGGCTGTTTCTTGTTGCACTCATCCGAGGCCCTGCTGCATCGAAATCGCATGATATCAGTTGCATTGAGCGGAATAACTGAAAAGCAGCAACTTAACGCGCGCCAAGACACAGGCACGCACAGTTGAATAACTCGCGCGAAGCAACTGCGTGATTCGATACACGTGTCGATTCTATATAGAGTTCAATTGCATAACCACGGGCAACGTCTCCCTCTTTCTCCGAGGAGACGTGCTCTCTTATTATTAGGTGTAGTGAGAGCGTGATTCAATTACCTTCTGAGGATCAGTACGGTCATGATGATAATGATCACGAGTAGCACGACCACAGCGACGATCGCCCCTGCGATTATTCTAACTTGCATGTTATCGTTCTCGCCAACGTAGTCTGCGTAAATGCTCACATTAAAGATACGGCTCGGCGGATTGCGAAATGTATCCGAATGCCGCTCACGCTTACCTAGACCCATCGCGTGGGGTGTCTTCTTAAATACCACCGGCGTGTATTCGCCCCAGCCGCGGGTGGTCTTGGCGCGAACCTGTATCGCGTAATCCGTAGAAGGCTTGAGACCTTTGAACGTGGCGGACAGCTCGGACGTTTGAATGACGGTTGCATTAGTGGCGTCGTCGTAGCGCGGGTAGCACCTCACTGTGTCAGAGATATCGAGACGATTATAATCCTTTCCCCGTTGCTGCCGTGCCCCTCCCTCCCTCCCTCCCTCCCTTGCCGCTACCCAATCACCCTGCGGCGCGCGCGCGCGCTCGATTGAGCGCGACAATTTGGAGAATTGATCACGCCACGTGCGAGTCACAGCGCGCGCCTTATCTAACATACATGCACGCACTATGACTGCGGTGAAAAAGCGTATCAACTTCTGACCGACCTTCGTATCTCTCCACGAGATCACTGTCGCCGCCGACTTCGATGACCGGCGCGTCCCAGCTGATACTGAGCTCCGAGCTCTTGACGCTCGTGATCCTGACGTTGCTCACCAGACTCGGCACACTCGCCTCCGTGGTAACGGTGATGTCCACGTATTCCGACTTGCCGGCCAACGACGATACACCGTTCTCGGCGAAGACTTGGAAGCGATAAGTGGTCACCGCGTTCAGACCGGTTATCGTGATCTTCGTATCGTTGAAGATCTCCTGCGTGGGGAAAATCAAAGCGGTTCCGCGTCAAGTCTCTCTAACCTGAGAGTAGCTCTCTCTCTCTCTCTCTCTCTCTCTCTCTCTCTCTCTCTCTCTCTCTCTCTCTCTCTCTCAACTCTCTCTGTCTCAACCACTGCTCGACTACCAGCGGCAGTCGAACGCGGTAGACTGCTACTGCTAGTAATCCGTAAAACTGCAAGTAGCCTACGTGCTATGACTTTGACGGAAACTCACGGTGTTGGGAATGTATTTGACGCCCATGCTGCAGGCGTCGCAGACCACTCTGTACGTCGTATCGGACCTGCCACCCTGCATGTGCGGCGTGTTCCAGGAAAGAATCACCGTCGACTGATCGACAAAGTTGACAGTCAGGTTTTGCGGCGCCGAAGGTGGTTCTGCAAGAAGTACGATTCTTCAAGAAGATTCTTTCGCGGAAGACGATCTCCTCGAAAAATCTTTCCCATCTCCTCTCCTCCTCTTGCCACGCAAACTAATACGCTAACTAATTCGATACATTCAAGCAGCTAATAACGCGATCACATATGGAAACAAAGAGTTGTCTCTTTGATAAATCTAGATCTAATTACTTTCAGCGAAGATGACCGAACTGAATTCTACGAAAGTTTCGGGTGTTATCGCACCCGATGCAACGTCTGTGCAGTTACCTTTGTAACTTTCAACTTTTCCAATTTCCAAACAAACAAACCGGGAGAAGTGTGTTAAAAATTTTCTGATTCAGGGTACTAATTGAAAGTTGGGCAATCACTACGAAGAGATTGAGGAGCGTGACTGAATCAACACTCACGCGTGCAGGCCATGTTCTTGGGATCCTTCTCCGCTCGATAGTACGTCGGGTCGCAACGACACTCCGTGAAACCGTAATCAGAGGCTTTGCTGTGATCCGGACAAAGCTCGCAGATGTGGGAGCCCGACTCGTGCTTGTATTTGCCTATCGGGCACTCCTTGCACTCCTGCTTGTCCACGTCGGCCTGGTAGCCCGGCTTGCAGTGGCATCCGCCAGTGGGAAGGTACCATTTTCCGTCTCCCTTGCAGAGGAAGATCGGGTTCTCGATTATGACGGCGTTGGCGACGCAGGTGCCGATCGTTTGCTCGATAAAAGTGACCTCGCGACCGGTCGGCGTGGACGGGAAACGGGCGAAGTTCACCGAGACCTCCGGACAGCTGATGTAGTACACCTTGATGGCCAAGATCGATATACAGGCGCCCTGATCGCGAAACGCGAAGTAAACGCCCTTCTTCGTCACCGGTATCGATTTCACTTCCGTGTTTATCACCACCTCCGTGTTCGTGTTGAACCTGCCCTCGCCCGCGGCTATGCGACCTGTAAATGTCAGATCGTCGCTTTGGAAAAGCGTCCCAGATATCAAACACCGACCGAGCCGAGTGCGGTCGAGCGAGAGATACGCGCGGAAAATTACAGCTCAATGTCAATTAACCGCATATTAACAGCTATATCAATTGAACGCAGTTTCAATATTGTCAATGTTGTCATCGCTGGGATTCTCCTTCCGACGGATTCCTGAATTCCCCCCTTTTCTGTAATCTGTGCGCTGTAATCTCGCACGCCTGACACCTGGCCAGGTTTTGCCTTCCTTCGACAAACGCACGCAATATTCCCCCCCGTCTGTGAAATCTGCTTTTCTCCAGGTCGTTCTCTCTCACCGCTCTATCTGCCGCTATCACCGCGGAGCGAACTCTTCAGATTTTCACGCTTATTATGATTATATCATCGCTTACCGATAAGTTTGTAGCTGTCCGGCTCCCACGGAGGCGGCTCCTTTGTTGCTGCGTCGAATTCGTAGTACAGCAGACTGAAGGTCTCCTTACAGCTGAGAGCGTTCCCGGGGAACAGCGAGCAGTCGCGGGTCGTGAATTTGATTTCTATATACATGCGGTTCGCCGGGCCCCTCTCCACGAAGGGCGTCCACAGCCAATTGTTCACGTTGTTGTACGCCACGTCGCACACCACGTAACTCCGCCAATTGATGCCCTTGTCGAAGTTCGTGAAGGACTCCTCCACCCACTGTAACAAAAATGAAGAGACGGAATTGAAAGATCGAGTATGGCCTCTTGTACGGCGATCTCTCTTTTCTTTCTCGGCTATTTGTCGGTTACAACTAACGGAACCGGCGATTATAGTCGATGTAGACACACCAGGCTTGAGAATGACAAAGTCTCTCTCTCTCTCTCTCCCCCTCCCTCTTTCTCTCTCTCCCTCCCTCTCTCTCTCGAGGACCCTGTCCTTGTCGAGGGCGGTTCGGCGGCACTCTAAGACTCACGAGCGACTCTAACCCAGTTCTCTGTGTCGCGCCAGCGAATGCCAGGAACCGCTCTTCCGCCGTCGACGACGACGACGTTGTCACCATCGTCGTCGTCGTCGTCGTCGTCGTCATTGTCGCCAGTGCCGACATTGGCCGTCCTACCTCGGTAAATGACGAGGCGGAGAGGCCAGGTCGTCGACTTGCGACAAACAGACCGCAAGGAATTACCGGCGCGCGTTACCATTAGTTTTATTGCCCCCCTCGACTCTCTCTCGGGCTCGTCCCGAGGAGCGACCGCAAAAAGTTCCGACCGGGGCAAGAAGGATCCATCGTCGTCGTCGTCGTCGTCACCTGAACACCTCTCTTTCTCCCCTCCTCCTCCTCCTCCTCCTCCTTCTCGTCCTCCTCTCTCCTCGCGCACATAACATACACTCTCTCTTTTTCCTTCCCGCCCCAACTCAACTTTATTCTCTCTCTCTCTCTCTCTCTCTCTCTCTCTCTCTCTCTCTCTCTTTTTATGCGCTTCTTCGCGCTCCCGCGTATTTTATACTCGGAACAGGAAAGACTCGGCAGGTAAGGAGTAACAAAAAACGGTAGACTGAGGTAGAGAGCTTCGAGCCTCTCTTATCCCGAAGATTTCCACGCGGACGTGTTTCCGGCAGGCGGGCTGCAATAAATTCAGCTGCGCCGCGGCTACCCGGTTGCAAAAGGGAGATTATTACGGGGACGATGACGAGGTCGAAAAAATTTCATTAAAGCGGTGCCGGCGAAAAAAAGCTTTTTCAGCGCAACCGAAAGCACCGGTAGCCGGCGCAGAAGACCCCGGCAGGAGCGCACAGTTCCGCATTTCGCGTCGTCCACGCTTCGAATTACGATCCTGCCGCTGCCTTTCGCACGCCTCCGATCGCAATTAATAGTTTTTAGCGAGGTTTGCGAAACCGGATTTATGCCCTCGTGTGTGCACGTACGAGCGAACGAGCGAGCAGACGGCTCGCTGTGTGCTTGCACTTCTTACGCGATGAAATATCGCGACGTTCGGCGGTAATTAAGCGGTAAGAAAAGGTCCCGTTATCGCGCGCAGGGGGACGCGCCCCCCCCTTTCCCGCGCACGCATGAAAATCAAACGCCGATGAAAATTCGCACTTGCTCGTCCGCCTTTTTTCTATCCCTCCAGCGCGGAGGGGGGGGGGGACTATATTCTATTCCCCCGCCCTCCTCGCCCTCGAGATATCTCCTCGCGCGCGCGATGCTCCTGATCCCCCGCCGTTCCGTTTCACGATTCGGCGAGACCGCCTTTCGTAGCCGAGGGTTATCAGAGAGGCGAGCGAGCGAGCGAGAGAGAGAGAGAGAGAGAGAGAGAAAGAAAGAGAGAATGCATCACACCACCACCATCACCACCATCAGCACCACCGCCATCAGCCACCACACAGCCGCTGTTTATTTCGACGCTTTCGCCGCGGTTCTTTATCGCCCGGGAAATTTCATTAGGACGAGGTAAAATTCATCCTCTCCTCCGCCTTCTCTTCTCGCCGGGAAGGTTCCAACGGAGAGGCGCGTCTATGCCTCCTCCTTCTTTTATCGCGCCCAAGCTGCGAGGAAGAGGAGGTGCGGAGGAGGGAGGCTCGCGTCGTTAACGCCGCGCAGCATTTAATTGGATCGCGAACGCGCGTCTCGTTCTCTCTCTCTCTCTCTCTCTCTCTCTCTTCTTCTCTTCCTCTCCCTCTCGCTTTTTTCCTTTTTCCAACGCGCCGCTTCGATTTTTCGGCGAGACGGATTTCCCACTGGCGAGCGCGCGATCGTCCCCGTGAAATTGCTCATCGGATAGAAGGAAAGGAGACGATTAACCCGGCCTTATCCGCGGCAATCCCACGGCCTCGTTTCCGCAGTTGTGCGTGCAGATGCGCGCATTCTAGACGGGTTCGCGACACTTTTCTCATTCGCCGCTCGCGGAAACGTCGGTCTTGCTGCCGCGCTGCTTGCAGCGAGAGAACGTCGTCGTCGTCGTCGTCACGTATCACCGACTTGGGCGAAACTAATTTTCCCCCGCGTATTATTCCCGCGTGTATCTCGCGTGATACACAATCTGGGCGATTTGCGTAAACGGGCTCGTGTGTCCCGAGAGAAACTTGCGGCGCAATCAAGCCGTCTTTTGACACTTCATCTCTCACGCGCGCGACATTTCTGTCTGTACGTAAACTACGTGCGGAGAAATTATAAAATTATGGAACGGGTTATATTGCCACGGGGCAGTTGTGTTATTCGCACGCGTGCGGTGCGATCTCGTCCTTCTTTTCGCTCCTTTCTCAATAATAAATAACCTTGAATTCGATTACCGACACATTGACGACGACGTGAAGCAGCGAAAGCGAGACGCTCGCGATCGTCTTCTCATGCGTCTTCTCTTCTTAAGAAATGCGATTCGATGTAGGAGGTTTTTTACATCACTACGTAATGTATTTTGTTTTATTAAATCTCCGTACGTGTGTATATACACGAGACGAAGATTTGGAAATTTGCTTCCATTTGATCCTTAAGAAGGGAATTATACCTGCGGAGCAGGCCGTTTTCAAGGCTATTTTTACAAATTTTTTTAACACAGAAACGGCAGGAAATTTGAAATTTTCACAGTATATTCATTAATGTTCAAAGTATAAAATAAATTTGTTACTATCTACATGGAAAGTACACATAAAACTTCAAACGCTATCTAACTTTAAACTTTAAACGTTTATCTGGAAACACCATTTTCTTAAACTGTCGACACGATTACGCAAAAGCTACTGAGCCGAATAACTTGAAATTTTTACACAATATACAGTAGACATGTAGTTTTCGTCTCTACCTCGAACACAGTTATACATTATTTTATTCAGTTTTTTTAAACACGATTACAGGTTGAAAAGAAGTTTCATTTTCGATCCTTTTTTTTTTTTGTACAGTCATTATTTTTCCACACTTGGCTTCACTGCCTTCATTTTGGCACGGTTTTAATGGCAACGGTATATTTGAAAAATCTTTCTCAGTTTGTGGTTTCAGAGTAATGAGCGAGAGAGAGAGAGAGAGAGAGAAGGAGAGAGGCCCGCAATTATGTCAACAGCAAACACAGAGTTCGCAAGCGGATGATTGCATTTTTATCTATAATTACAAATTTTGGATCGGTTCTTGTGATTGAATAAAATTTATTTTGTCAACTTTCAACATTAATGAATACACTGTGAACATTTCAAGTCCATTGATCTTACCGTTTCTGTTAGAAAAATTGCTTCGAAAACGGCCTTTCGCATGTAATTCTCTCCTTAACCTTATCGATTGCATCAGGTCTCGTCTACAATAGATGATGATTCAAGTTTTAAGAAACTGACCAATTGTAGTCGAATATATTCTTCTTAACATTGTCTGTGACTGATCAATTTCTTCAGACTTAAGGCTTAAAGTACCAATTTAAGTTGTAATTTCTAGCCTTAAATAAATCGGGCAATTCCCAACATGTTAAATAAGCACTTTAAACCTTAAGCATTAAGAAACTGACCAATCACAATCAAAGTTAAGGAGAATATTCCGACTATAATTGGTCAAGTTCTTAAAGCTTAAATCATCAATTCTAGACTAAGCCTAACATAGAGCAGCGACATCTCCGACTCTGATGGAGCAGCGCGGGGGTAGTTTCTTCGAGGGCGATTTCTTTTCCGGGCAAACACGGTTATTCCCTCCTCGCATTAAGTATAAATTGTGGGAAAATGTGCGTTTCCGTGGCGCGCGATAGTCATCGATCGATAAGTATTCGATGCTTCGGAAACTATGCCGCGGTTAGCGTCTTTGTGGGCAGGTATCGATCGCGCCGCTACCCACCACGACTCGCCTCGTCTCGCAGCAGGTAGACCTGTCTCGCTATTTTCTGCATCGGCGCGGGCGCGGGCGCGGCGGCGGCGGCGGCGGCGGCACGTCGGCGACGAGCGTGCAGCTAGCAGGGGCGGCATGTGCTGCAACGCCTCGGATTTGCTCGGCTGTTTATTCTCGTCGCGGGGGTAGCGGCGACGCCACATCCCCGCGCGACGATGATAAATCGCGAGATGAATTAAAGCGTTACACCTCGCTCGCGTACACACCGCCTTCTTCTCTGTCGCTCGCGCGTTGCGGAATGGAAATTCCTGTGCCGCGATCCCCCCTCCTCTGCGCGAAATAACAGCGACTCGATCGATTCTTCCTCCTGTTTCAAAGCGCAACTGTTTGTCTCGCTTCGCCACGATCGTTCCCGGCTCGACACTCGGTCGAGCAAAACTCCGCCCAAAAAAAAAAAATAAAACACGGCAGAGGACAAAGGGTGGTCCGTTAAAGGACCATGTGGGTTGCCATCGCGGAAGCTACCTGTGAGTCAATCCTAGGGAATGTCACTCTGCCTACCCTCAGAGAGAGAGAAAGAGAGAGAGAGAGTGGGAGGACAGGGGAGCGAAGAGAGAGAAAGAACTAGCGCCGCTCATGGCTTTCCGGTTTCTCGCGGATCAGACCGTCGCAGTAAATAGATACGAGTCGATGGCTCAGAAGTAAAGCCAATAAGCTCACGTTGGAGATGAACGGAGAAAGGAAATAGATGTAGACGCAGCGGCACCGCCGACTCTCCCTCACGGATAGGGAGCTGCCCCTTCGCGTAATATCGCCACCATAATCGCAATTCCGATGGCGTAGCCCCGAATGAGGGAGGTAGGTTAACGTGAGTGAGAGTGATAGAGACAGAGACAGAGAGAGAGAGAGAGAGAGAGAGAGA